TGCTTGTTTATTTGAGTAACGAGAAGCACATCGACACAACAATGACCATTTAAGGCTGGGAAAAGAATAAGACAGACAGGAATGAAACAACAGAAGGAAAAGTAAAAAAATGTAGGACCTACAAATGGCCCCTCCAACCACCTAAAGGTATGCTGTTGACTCGATTTGATGGTGGTTATCATGCTGGAATGTTGTGCAGATGACCTTATTAGTTAAGTTTTAGTAGAGTTTTACGGCACTTGCAAATGGCCCCTCCAACCACCTAAAGGTATGCTGTTGACTCGATTTGATGGTAGTTATCAAGCTGGAATGTTGTGCAGATGACCTTATTAGTTAAGTTTTAGTAGAGTTTTACGGCACTTGCAAAACAATAAGGTTACATTATAAGTGCTGAAGATCATAGGTGTTACAAGAGAGAAACAAACACACAAAACTGGAAGAGAGATACAGACTTTATTACACGAGCTATCGAGGGAAATAATCAAGTTGTAATCACGAGTTTCAACGACGGATTACAACTGGCAATTTCACAAGTACGATAAATACTGGTCTGCCACAACAACGATTTTGAAATTTTATAACATTTAGAATTTATCAAAGTCTCTCACTTTTTCTGTGTCATCTTCCTGTCTTGTTTTGATTTGGTGTAGAGGAAGAAGAGCAGGAGCTCGTAGAAGAACTGGAACTCTTCAAACACGCTGATCAGACAGACACACAGACAGATGGACGGACAGACAGACAGACAGACAGACAGACAGACAGACAGACAGACAGACAGACAGACAGACAGATGGACGGACAGGCAAACAGACAGATAGACAGGCAGACAGACAGACAGATGGACGGACAGACAGACAGACAGACAGACAGACACGCAGACAGACAGACAGATAGACAGGCAGGCAGACAGGCAGACAGGCAGAGAGACAGACAGACTGACAGACAGGAACCAGCTTTTCAAAGTCTCTCAGTGGGTGGTTGACGGGTGCTCTGGTGTGGTTTGCTCCTTCTTTCCTATTAAACAACTATCGTCTTTATCTCTCCTCCTTCTTTTTGAGGTTTGTTACCCACTTGTAGCACCTCTAATCTTCAGCACTTATATTATGACCTTATTGTGTTGCAAGTGCCGTAAAACTCTTACTAAAACTAAAAGTCTCTCACTTTTTCTGTTTCATCTTCCTGTCTTGCTTGGGTTTTGTGTAGATGAAGAAGTGTAGAAGCTCGTAGAAGAATTGGAACACCTCAAACACGCTGATGAGCGATAGGCCGATCCACAGCCCGATGGTACCGCCGATGTCAGACACGAACTGGAACGGCTGGGGGAGGGAGGGAAACGGTTAATTGTGTGTGTGTGTGTGTGTGTGTGTGTGTGTGTGTGTGTGTGTGTGTGTGTGTGTGTTTGTTTGTTTATGTGTGTCGGTGTGTCTATCTGTCTTTGTCTGTTGTATGTTTGTCGGCGTGTCTATCCGTCTTGGTGTCTGTCTGTCTGTCTGTCTGTCTGTCTGTCTGTCTGTCTGTCTGTGTGTGTGTGTGTGTGTGTGTGTGTGTGTGTGTGTGTGTGTTTCTGTCTGTCTGTCTGCCTGCCTATCTGTCTGTGTTGTCTGTCTGTGTGCCTGTCTGTCTGTGTGTGTATGTCTGTCTGTGTGTGTATATCTGTCTGTTTGTGTGTGTTTGTGTCTGTCTGCCTGTCTGTCTGTCTGTCTGTGCCTGCCTGCCTGTCTGCCTGCCTGTCTGTCTGTAGGCACTGTCTCAACAACTTTCCCCGTTGTCTTCCAACTCATTTCTGTTTGTCTTCTTCGTGGACCATCCGTCATTAACTTGGCACGCAAACACCAGGAGATCACTCTACAGAAATCCCAAAGCAAAGCTCCTTATTTTTTCCAAGTTCTAGAACGGTCAATAAACTCGACTAATACAAGGGAGAAACCCCTTTTCGTGGCGCGTCTTTCTATCTTGGTTTTATGGCTGTACAATCAACCTTAAAGAAGTTTTTGATTTTTGAAAATTTGCGTCATTGTGACCTAATTACATATCGATATTATTGTTATGACCAAAATAATTACTGTTTTATCAATTACTACATAGCTATTTACTTTATACCTCAGCAAAGCAGACAAAAGTTACCCCAGCCAATGAATGTTGACGTAAAATAATCAGTCAGATGGTCCAAATTTTAGTTAAGTTGAAACACACACAAAAAGTTCGTTTCTTTTTCTTTTTCTTTTTTTTTGTTGTTGCTTATCATGAAAAATTTCATGTTTAGCATAATATTATGATACGTTTCTCTGTCACAAGACGGCAGATCTGAGGTTGTAGCCTTGACCTACTCCAATCACTCACCTCGTAGTCAGGCTGCTCCGTGATATTCTCGTAGTTCAAATCCTCGAAATAGACGACAATCTTCAAGAAAGATGCTCTGCAGGAGATTGAACAGGAAATTGAAACATGATATTGGCTTCTTGTTAACGTTCTGTGTTCAACACACGTCAGTATGTCTATAAAAACATTATTAAGTTAATATTCCCCAGTCGTCTATACACGAGAGTTTATTGTCAAAGTAACAAATACCGTTTGTTAGAAGCAAGCAACTCCACGTACCCCGGCTATCCAAATGCACACACAAACACGCACATACACATACACACATAAACACACACATACAAACACACACCCTCACAAACGCTCGCACACTCACACAAACACACATACACACACACACACACACACACACACACACACACACACACACACACACACACACACACACACCCCCCCACAATCGTCGACTCATTTTTACTTGTACATAATCTTTTACCTGTAACATTACATGTGAAAAGAAGCCAGAAGCTATCACATTTTGTGCGGAGTCGATGATGAATTGGCTGAGGTGTTTTGTGGATTTACGTTCAGAAGATAATAACAAACATAATACAACAGGGTTTAAGACACTTCTTCTTTAGGACTGTAACTTATTTAAAGTCCTCTTTTAGGAAATAGAGCACATTGTGTGACGTCACCGTGAACTCAGCGGTGTAAAATTATGGCTCGACAGTCGACAGTCTCGTAATCGCGTAAGTCCACGAGAAATTTGCGTGGGTTTGTGCTATCGCGGTTAGCAAGACAAGAGATATAGAGCACTCGTATGACCTTTTTTTTGGTAAGTGTTTTACGGCGCTCGCAACTGCATAAGGTCATAATATATGAGCGCGCGGGACACACCTAAAATTTTCAGTTGGTAGGAAATTTTTAAATTTTGGCCGGGTGGCGGCCGAAGCCTACTCTCATCGATTTTTAGACTACCAAGGGATTTTTAACGTGCGCAACTTGCACACGGGCCCACCGAGATTTTTCGCCCTTGTCCGAGAAGGCTAGGTGTAGATCTTTCCTACCAGAAGATCAGGGGTGTGGTAGAAAGACAGCAGCAAGGAGGAGCCAAGGAGTAGCAGTAGAAAGGCTGCAGAAAGAGCCAGGAGGCCAGAGGAGGGGGCAAACGAGGTGAGGGGGTGGGGGCAGAAAGTGGAAATGAAAGCAGACAACAGAACATTGCTAGAGAGCAGGAAAGGAGGAGAAAGGAGACAATTTTAGAGAAGGAAATTTTTCGGTCGCTACCCGGATTCGAACCCGGGATCTTTGAATGAGAGGCCAACACCTTAACCTCTAGGCCACGAGAGCACCCACTGATATGATCTACGTGTGAAGACAGGAATTTATCTAATCTACAGATAATAATTCTGCATGGGCGGCGAAGCGAGATTTTGTTCATTTTAGCTGACTCTGTGATTTTATTGTTTCCAGCAGATTTTGCTTAATGAAGGTTTTGCATCAGGCTACCAACTACAACATGGCTTGTTTGATCTACGTAAGAATAAGAATCTGCAGGGTTCGCTGAAACCCAGCACTTCAACTCCCGAACAGAACTTTCTAATTGAGGGCAAAGCACAGCGGCCTTGACATAGCACGGTTTAGGATATCACACTTATTTAAGCCTATGGATACCTTTGTCACTTTGTTTAGCTTAGTTTTAGTAAGTGTTTTACGGCACTTGCAACACAATAAGGTCATATATTAGTACCAAAGATTAGAGGTGTTACAAGAGAGTAACAAACACAAAAAAGAAGGAGGAGAGATAAGGACGATAGCTATTTGATAGGAAAGAAGAAGCAAACCACACCAGAGCATTCTCCAACCACCCACGGGTCACTTTGTCACTTCGTTTCGTGGGTACAATCATGACACAGTTGAAAGATAAATACGAAGAGGTAGAAGTCTAAGAGAAACATTCTGAAAAGATTAACGATATCACTGAGAAGAATGTGAAAACTTTGAATAGAAACAGAAAATTTCAGAGAGTTTCTCGTGTAACTGTTTGGTTAAGTAAGAGTTTTACGGCACTTGCAACACAATAAGGTCATATACAACTGCCGAAGATTAGAAATGTTACAAGAGAGTTTCACACACACAAGAGAAGAAGGAGAGATAAGGATGATAGATGTTTAAAATGGCAGAAGGAAAGATCCACACCAGAGCACCCGCCAACCAACCACCTCGGCATCACCACATCTATAGTTCGTGAACAAATTGTAAGATCAGAAAAGAAAGACCACGCCAAAAGCTGGGCGAAGGTCGACAGAATAGCTTTTAGACTACTGAGAAGATAGAGTGTTGCCACATCCATTTCTGGGAGAGAGAGAGAGAGAGAGAGAGAGAGAGAGAGAGAGAGAGAGAGAGAGAG